GATATAGAAGAGTAAATAATTAGTAATTCGATTAATAATCAATAATTATCATTCGTTATAGCACTTCGATTATGGTATTTTCTGGCAAATTTTAGCTTATACTTATAGCTTATACTTTAATTAACAATGATTACGTTATTTTAACTTCGAAATTAAATTAGATTTTCAGAAAGGATAATTCGAAACACAGAAAAACAAAGAATTCTAATTTAAATTCAACATTTTATCCCTATTTTAGTAACTACTTAATAATCAGTAGCTTTTTAGTAATTAATAACTTCTTAATAATTAACTACAAGAAATGAATTTTACACTTATTTCGCGCTTGCATCTATTTATTTTCCAAAATTCTAAAAACTGTTTTCGCAAAATAATAGGAAATGAAATCATTAAATTGTTTATAATTATAATGTTGTAATGTTTATGGTTGTTTATAGTTGTAACAAATATAGTTTCTTAATTTTTCCAAACATTTTGAAAGCCATATTTCAAAAGAAAACATACGGAACTTAGACCACTTTTATGATCATTAATTCACGTAAAACGTTATACAAAAATTATACAAAAATTGTCATTTCAATTTTTTTGCAAAAATAGAATTGAAAAATTCGTAGCAAAAACAACCCTTATTAATTCTATTTATTTTTCAAAAGTCAAGGAAGATGCCATCTTTAATTCCTTTTACATAAAACCGATGAATTTTCCTTGCATTATAATTTAGGAAACATATGCTTATTACAACAATATGTTCCTACTTATTATAAAAATATTTATTATTTATAATACCGATTGTACAACGGAATCGTATTACACTGATACTGATATATATCGAAACGAACAAATATAGGGAAAATAAATGGAAGGTTCAAGAAGAGTCGTGCTTGAAATTCGATTATACAATTTAGAGAAAACTTTAATCTGTGAAATATTCGTCAGATAAATTATTACAATTTCACACCATGTCCAGGATTAATGAAACACTTGGTCGAAAGGACCTTGTATAAGATTGCCAACAGGTCTGAAGATTAATTTCCTCGGAACAAATCATAATTAAATGGCTTCGATATACGTAGCTGATGTTTTCTCCAAGTGGAATATTCATTTCGGGGAAAGTGCGCACGGACTCTTAATTAATAAGTAATTATTCTAAGATGGATGTCGGGCCGCGACGGCGACATTTTATTCTCGTTAAGCTAAATTTTAACCACAGACGTGCCATTTGTTGCATTAACGTCTCATTAACCGGTGAAAGTTCGCCGTTACACATTTTTTTCATCGTTCCGAAAGCGATGCCACCTGCTGTTTCTCCCCTACGAGAAGCAGCTTCGTTATTCTAAGCTTTCTTTTTCTTATAAAATCACTTCCGTTTCTCGAGCTTCGTTTCTAAGCTTTTATCGATATACTACAAATAACGAGATATGATTAAAAAATATATATATTTTTTATTATATTCTATTATTTATTTGATAATTTATTTTATATCTTTTATTTTATCTTTTATTCTATTTTATTGTACATATTTTTAATTTTAATACATACCTCAATAAATAGTTCTTATATGACTTGCTATTATTTATAATTCCATAATAAAGTAATAATACTTTATATAACATTTTTTCCTCCTTTTCATCTGTATATTATATCTGTGTATCTGTATATTTTCGCAATTTAATGGAAAACACCGGGACACCTTGTATAATACATTGTATAATACATTGGATTAAAATTCATTGATCGTTTCCTGGTAATATGAATCATAAAAATAAAAATATAAATAAGATTATTATAAAAATTATTATTTAAATAAAAATAACATTATTTTATTGTAATAGATATTATTAATGCAGATAATATTTTTCAACATTTCAAACTTCGCCATTACTCTTTTTACATGACCCGTGACTATCCGTATCTTTTCTTACGATATAACCTTTATTTTATACAAGTTTTAAATTACCTCGATTTCTGTTCCTCTAATGCCTTCTAAATTGACGAAGTTTACAATGTCACCTTGTATATTAGATACCTTTCCTTCGCTAAATATATCGTTTTATATACCCGACGTTCCGAAAGCGTTATAATTCTTCGATTTTCATTCGATCGAATTTCCTTCGAAATTCTTTCAAAATCAGCCCCTTTTCGAGGATACCGAGAAGAATGCCCCCTGCCTGTTGCATAGCTAAGGGTTCGCTTTCACGAGTATTCAACGCCCGTTTTTGGTTCGTCGAAAGTTCTTAAACGCGCATAAATTGCCAGAACATAGGAATACAATGGTATCATCAGAGCATCGTTGACTTTTTATCCACGTTAATTTATTCCGACAAGCGTGAAGGCTCCAAGTGGCTGCTGTTTAGAATTTAGGACTTGAATAGTCTCGTTTACGTTAAGTTATACGACGTATAACCATAAAACACCTGATTACTGTTTACTACGTGATAAATCACCGTCTATTGCGGCTATTTTTGTGTTGCCAAGTGTTTTAGAGATTTTCATTGGTCCCCTTCTTTATTTTATGCCCCTCTTTTGAATTTGTCTTTCTTTGTTCATTGATCCCACACGTCTAAAATATTTAAATTATTTCGTTTACTTAAGTAGTTTATTTAAATTCGTTGCAGTAACGCAATATATTTTGTTTTGTAATAATACCATAGTTCTTTTCATTGAATAAGTTGGTGCTAGTAAATATTATGTGTCACTTACAAAGTATGTAAAATAGTATTAAAATTAGTATTAAAATAATTATTACTTGTATTAATAAATTATTAATACAAGTAATTATTATTACTATTAATATTACAATATTATTAATTGTAATAATGATTACTTTGTCTTTTATGATAATATTAATAATACTCAATGTGTGATTGAAAATTAAGATTCATTTAACACTAGAATTACTAAAGAGATCAAAATTATGTTTCTTAGATTTTTTATTTTTGCAGTTACTGCACTTTTGGCAAAGTTATTAATTTTTATCTAAATAGGAGCATAATTGTAATAATATTTCTTTTTTTCCATTATACCAATTTAATTTCTATTTTCTGTATATTATAGAAAGGTACGTATTAAAAGTCGACATAACCTTATTTAAAAATGAAAAAGTTATTCCTAAATATATGCAATAAATTTTAATAAAAATTAATTTTAAATATTATCATAATTATTTTGCTGGTCCTATTGCTATACATAAAGCAACGATTTTTACACATTTTAATACGTATACACATTAATTTCAACTCTACTATTTCTTATCAATTCCATAAAAATACATAACTTTTGTAAGTGGTGATAAATGGAACGAAATCAATAAAAGAATATTCAACGGTAGTGAAGTGGGTCATCATTGATTGCAAAAGGAAGGATAATTCGCTATTGTTCATGTTACAACTCTATTTAAATGCGTGCATAAAAATGGATAAATAACTTAGTTTATGTAACTTTCTGACGAATTGCATGAAAGCTTCTGTAAATAAAAAAATTCATCGTGATTACTTAGTAGTAAGACAATAAAATCGCACACCAATTTCAGTTGCTTAAAAGCGATATTATGCAATACAATTATTTCATATAAAAGTTTAATAAATGTATTATTAAATTTTACTTCACTGTACATTTCAGAAATATATTTCTGTTCCTTTGAAAAATCAAAATTAAATGAAATACATTATTTGTAACCTAAAATTTGAGATCTGTCTTCCTCGAATAAAAAATTCATAAAATATCTTCAAAAGCTGATAATAAATGAAATAATAGTCTATTTTATAGTGAATTGTAGAAATTTCAGCCTAATTACTTAAATGTCAAAGTAAAATCTTAATTTTTAAATGTATTTTGAAGAAAAGAAGTGATATTCAGAACAATATAGTTTTTAATTACTATACTTAATGTATGCGCCCCCCCAACACACACACACACACACACACACACTCACTCACTCATACACATACACACACAAAACATACATTTACTATAAAGCACTACCATGAAATCTGTATCACAGTTCGTGTTATCGCAATTTATGTTAAGCTAATATCTCACAATTGTTATAGAATAGAGGTATCGTAAACTAAATACGGGTTTTCTGTTATTCTTTTGATTTTTAACATCAAAAGTCACATCGTTATTGACGCTGTTTTATAGATTATTTTTGCGTGATATTTTCCGATACTAACACAAACATGAAAATTCACGTCAATAAATTATTTTTTAATTAAAACGTATACATATATATATATATATATATATATACGGTGTATTTTCTTATCTTGAGCATACGTAACATTTTTGTTATTTCTGATAATACAAAAAAATGTGTAAGGGAAAAGTTGCATAGTTTCATGGAGTGAAGGTCATTTAAATCAAAATCTCAAGATCATTATTATTTTTTTTAATGGAAGTGTATATTTTCGTTAATGTAATATTGTAACTGTGAATAGAACTTTTAGATGACATTGAATACCAAAAATTGTATATTTACGTGAAAAAGAAGTGAAATAAAAATGAACGTATTCTAACAAGTACAAAACGTACATACTTTATTACACTATACCTATATATTATATTATACTATACGTGTGTCAAAACGAGTTCAACCATATGGTATATTATGGCTTCCAAGGTCAGAATAAAAGAAATATTTCAAATTAAAAATACTATACTTTATGATAACAATCGGGCAAGGAAATATTAAAAAAAAAAAATTGAAAAAACACATCATTATATAAAAATATATTTCAATTTTGACATTTTAATATTTACAAAAGTGCAATTGAATATTATACACATAATTTATTGGGTTTAATTAAAAGTACACAACTTCATTAATAAATATTTAATAAAATGATTAATATTGAATACAATAATGTTGATACATGTAACTAGCATGTCAACAAGAACAGAATAGAATGCGGAAAAACAAGAAAAATATCCGATAACGTGAGCGTTACATATATAAACTAAAACCTAATTCACATAATTAAATAGGTTTTATTTGAATTTCCTTATGGAGTTCTTCCACATAAACCTGATATGTCAAATATATTTGTATCCTTTAATAACTTACTTGCAGACATTTGTTCATATAAAATTGGAACAGCTGCTTTTGTCAAACGCTTACGTTTGATATCATCATTTTGATTTACGGAACATATTATAACTTCATTTACTACATGTTGTACAGAATAACATACCATGAATTGAAATATAGTTTTCAGATCGTTTTTCACTTTCTTTTTAATATTTCGATCTCGACAAACTAAGTTCAAAATAAAAAAACCGTCATTTGTTAAACAGTCGGCAACTGATTTTATAATAGGCAATTCTAAAAATTGTTTAGGTGGACAACTCATTCCAACTGTAGTATCTTTATTGTCCACATCAAAAAGTATAGCTCTATATTTTTTGCCGCTTATTGCAGTTTCTTTTATGACTTGTATTCCATCCGCAATTTCAACCTTCATTCTATCATCAAGAATAAGACCAAAATAGTCTGTAGCAACTTTTAACATTTTCTCATCAATTTCAATTGCTGTAATTTTTAACTGAAAAAATATAAATATATATTTTGTTAAATATTTGTAGCAATATGTTTAATGATTTCAATCAATCAAATTAAAATACTATGTACATACCTTAGGAAGAATATTATACAAAAATGTACACAAACTACCTCCACCTAAACCTATAATCATTATTTCATTACATTCTTTAGGATTCATCAAAGCACAAACACCAATGCTCATGTATGAATGATGATCACATGCTAAGATTAAAGGATTAACAATTTTTTTCATTTTACCTCGTCTAGACTTAACTAAAAAAAATTATATATAAATTTAAATTATTAAAATTATTTCTATAAAATAAATAATGATAAAATTTTATACCCTGCTTAAGTCGAGCTTCACTTTGTATAACATAAGGAATATTCAAAAAAATTAATCTTCTAAATTCAATACCATCTCTTTCAATCTCTTCAACAATGAAAGGACCACTCATATCACTTTTTCCTTCATAACATATATTTCTGACCCCAACATCTGTACCCATGGATAAAAATGGAATATCACTCTTTGCAGATAAACCTTGTGGTGCTAAATTCAAAATACAGTCTTCGATTTCACTTTTTATAGCATCCCAGCTTTCAAATTTATGTTTCCTACATAATGTCACAATGGCAAGTCTATCATATTGTGAGCTCTCCAAAACGCGCTGTCTACCTTCTTTTGTACTAAATAGCCAGTCTGCTTCTCTAATAGAAGAGGCAAGTTTAAACATTATTTGGTTTATATTGTTAATATCATTAAATATACATTTAAACTAGACAAACTTACTTTGCATGTGGTACTATAAAAGCTGCATAACTTTTTATACCACGTATCTTGGGTTGATCTAAAACGTAAACTGTATAACGTGGATGTTTATTATCAGGGGAATATAAATTAAATGAGATTTCTCCAATATCAGCTACACTACGTTTTTGAAGACTGTTGAAAATAAATACGAATTGTTGTACTGACAATATAGCTGATATCATGTCATCTATTGATGACAATCGTCGTGGAGAACCCTCAACAAGTGCTACTTCCAGAACCTATTGCAATTGTACAATATATATAATCGAAAAATTGTTATTACAAATTGTTAAATTAAGAATTAAATATAAAATAAAACAAGTGACAACAAACTTGTCATTATAGTCCAAATAAGTTTATTTTTAAATACTCAATGTGACTAATTGTTAATATCGTTAACTTAACAATAAAAACTTGTGTTCATTATTTATTTATAATTTTTGACTATAAATACCTATAAAGAACATACCAGTGAATAATATATTTTTTCTTATTTTCACTTGTAAATTATTCTATAATATAATGATAAAATGAAATTCAAGTAGTTTAGTTATTTTATATACATAAAAATATAAATTTTGAACATAAATTTAACATAATACTAATAAAAAAATGGTTACTTATTTAATAATAATATAATCACTTACAGTCTGTGATAAGTTTGTAAATTTTGTAGCAATCACTGCAAAAACTGGGATTGAACTTCCATCTTCAATTCGTGCTTTTTCTTCTGCTTCATGACAACGTACTATACGAAACATGAATCCAGCATTTGGAAAATAAAATAAAAGTTGTTTCAAAATATGTTCTTGTAATAAAGAGATACAGATGTATCTGCCTCCATTACGCAGGACTCTTGTAATTTCCTATAATAAATAATAAGAACAATTACTATATATTTTTATAAAATATAATTAAATGCGTATATGTTATGATATAAAGATTGTTCATTCATTATTTAATACTAATCTAAGATTAATCAATGATATTTAATTGTATACCTTAAAATATTTATTAATAACAGATATTGTTCCTTCTTTAGTATCTGGCATAAGAGTATCTAAAGTACCTTTATCTATAATGACATTAAATGTATCATCAGAATATTTCATTTGTGTAGCATCCATATGTTCATAAACTAACTCTGGTCTTACAGATATATTAATATCACGCATTTGTTTGATAACAATATGAGATATATCAATGTTAGTAATATTTCTGAAAAGAAATAAAGAGTGAAAATAAGAAACAAGTAAGAAATAAGAATAAATGTAGAAATAATATTAATTAGTTGTACGAGAAAGAATGTTATTACAATCTTTAATAGAAAAATTAATCGATATCATTCTTTACAATCAAAGGATCATATAAAAAATTATAATTGTAAATAAACTAATTCTATTTTTAATGTATAAATAGGAATCAATGTAATTAGAAGTCTTATACCTGTAACCAGCATCATATAAACACATACTAACAGTCGAATTGCCACAACCAACAATTAAAACATTGTCTTTTACTTTTATATACTTTAAAAATATATTACATAATTCTGGATACTCTCCATACCTAAATGATTAGAAAAATTATATATATTTAAAGCTAATATATGTTTACTAATAAGTTATAAACATAAACAGGACATACCATTCAAAACTCTTTTTACCACGTTTTTTGAAGAATGTATTCCAGTATTCAACTTGACTAAATTCTTCGTGTGTTTTTGGTAATAAGTTCATACTTTCTACTTCTTAAATAAACTTATCAATTCAATAACATCGAATTATTTGAAATTAATTGCTTTTATAACTGTAGGATTACGTACTGACATTAAGTTAACCCTAGAGTAACATTGTAAAGTTATTATCAATGTCAAAAAATTTTAAAATGTTTATTAAGTCATAGACACATATTTAATATTATTTAATTTTGTATTGTATTTTTAATTAAAAATTAATTCGCATTAAATTACGTTATATTAGTAATGTTATCGTTTCACGTCACTCTAATAAGTAGATGATGTAAAACATACGTACAAAAATACAATAATACACATGTACTTCAAATAATACTTTTAATTTTTGCATTCAAATATAAAAATTATTTAATTTAAATTTAAGAACAACCTTTCATGCAAGTACATCATTAAAGCTGAATTTATGCTATTGGTAACTTTGTGGTTATTAAATATTTATGATAATATATAATATATGTAAATATATATTTACTGCAGAGAGTTTCTGTTCATATTATTTAAAGTTTAAGGTTTCAAAATAATTAAATTTTATAGCCGTGGGATATTAAAATTTATCATTTTATATACTGTATACTGTTTTCAAAAAAGAGGGCAAAATATATATTATTCTATTCTTAACCTTTGTAATCACGTAGGTTAATTTGATCGATAATTTAATCATCAATTTGTAATAATTTTTATCAATTTAATAATACATTGATTAATTGATTTAATTTATATACGAAAAATTTTTCCAGATAACATCGATGAAATATTTGATATTAATTTTTAAGTCAAAATGTTTCTATTTAGAATAATTTCGAAACGAAATACTTAATTTAAAGTAAACGGTCTAATTATTATAAGAATTTCATCTAAATATTTCAAAAAATGTTTTTTAATAAATTCTATTTCTCCGGTATTTCTCCAGTATTTCTAACAATACAAAAATATACCAAGTTATGTTAGATATTAAAACTAAAAATAAATTTAGATTAAGTGATTTAGTTCATTATTTATTTTACTTATCGCCAAGATGTACTACTCATTTGTGTAATAAAATTTTACTAACACAATTTTAATTAACAATAGGAATTAGACATTCTTTTATAGTCTACTCTTTTATTTCAATACTTTAAAGTATTATTATATATTTATATGGAAACTAAGAAACTATTTTAAAATTATTTCTCCTTATAAAAAATATTTTTTGATATTTACACTTATCACTTAATATTTAAATATAATGCTATACATTTTTAATTTTTTTTAAAATTTATAACAGCTTATCATTTAATTTTTTTTAAAGTAGAAATTGTAATAAATTAGTACTTTTTGATCATCGCAATAAAGTTGGCTAAAAACAAAAAATTTTAAATGTTGCATAAAATGCTTTATTTAATTAAAAAGAAAAGTTATTTATTAAAAAGTACTGTTACGCAGTAAACATATATTTTTAATTCTGAAAACAAAATTGAGAAAGGTAAGGCAACATTACTTGTAGTATATAGATTTTTGAAATTTACTGCATAATACAATATAATACTAAATTATGGTATCAAATGTAATTAAATTATAATGATATTTTTCATTTATTAAAATAACTAACACAGTTTCCAATTACAAGTATAATTTTAAGTACCATATAAAAGTGTTATGTCACTTGACGAAGTATTATATGATTCTTAATGAATTAAATAAAATGTCTTTATGTGTAAAAGAGTTATTTATAATCATTTGTTATATATTGTTATATATACAACAAATACATTTTATAATATATATATATATCAAAAACATGTAATTTGTAGCATGTAAATTATTGTTATATATATAATTATTTATAATACTTTGTGCTTGTTTTTAGTATAATCAAATATCTCAATTAGTAAACAAAAATGTACTTTAAATTAGAAATTATAAAATTCCTTTAATAGTTTTGTTATACTAAACTTAAAATTAATTTTATACTAAAAAATATGGATAATACTTGTCTTATACTTTACATAATTAGATATTAGAAAAGTTAATATTATTTTTAATTAAAGTTTTTATGATTTAAATTTGTCTTAAATGTTATATGAAATTAAAATAAACTATAAATTATTTTTATTTGTTTACAAATTTATAAGAATGTTTAATCAGAAAAAATTATAACTCTTTTTATAATATTAATTAAACAAAAATTATATTTTCATTATTTTATTTCATTATATAGTTATTATTAATAATAAATTAATACTTGGTATATATATTTACAAAATTGATACTGATTTTAATTTTAGGATAATAATTTTCTGTCAATTACAAATGTAAAAAATTTAATTAATTAATATATTGTATTTTAAAATATTAATATTTTTTTAAGTATAATTTAAGGTATCGGTAGCATGTTAATCAATTCTTATTGAAAGGTTTTTCTTTATTTCATTATAATAATGACAAAAAGCAAGCAAAACTTGTAACATGTCAATTTATTACAAACAAAGTCAATACATTAGTATGTACAACTACTCTGACACATTTAATATATATGTACATTATATATAAATAATACGCACACACATTCATGACTCACATTCATATATATCATCAATACAAAAGCTTTTTTTATTTAAATATGTAAATGTAAACAATGCTGTCGTTTTTAAATGATTCACAAGAGTAAAATACAAACAAGATAGTAGATTATTTTTAATTAAAGAATACATGCACAGCCTAAAACAAGAAGCAGTTCAATGTATTCAATCACCATGGAAAATATTGTACTTTCTATTTAATATCCTCTGGAATTAAATCCCCTTTAGGACTCTAAATTGTAAAGCTTTGGTCTACCTTCTCCATGTAAATCTTTAGTTTCAGCTTCCACATAAAAATAACACTTCTTACATAATTTATGCAGAAATATATGCACATATTGCATATTTCAATTTATTTGTAATAGATTTACAAGTCATAATTTGGTATAATATAAAACTTGCAATGTAATACTACATACATTATATATTACTTAACACCTAGCAACATTTTCTATATATTTTAGATAAAATGTAATTTTACAAAATCAATTTTATTACATATTTAAGAATCATTCATTTTAGTAGATATTGGATCTATTTAGTATTATGTTATTAAACTATTTAGATAATAATTTTTAGAATTTATTTCTAATAATAATATTTTTTATCTTAAAAATAAGCACAGAAAAATAATACATATTGTAGAAATTGTAATTTTTATTAAAAATATTTTCTATATTTTGTTATATTCACATTGAAAAATGTGATTACTAAAAAATGAAAAATGTATTAAATCTAGATTTCATTTAGATTAAAATATACTGAAATTAATTTTGTGTAGACTTGTGTTTAATTTATAAATACAATACTTTTTCTTTTGATATTTTTATATATCATTATACAAATTTTAGAAAATTATAAAATTATGATTGAATATAAAAGATATACAGAAATCTAATTAGATTAAACACAAGAATATATAAAAATCAAATTGGACTATAGTTCTAAATAGATCCTATATACTTTTGCATAATTAAATGTAAAATGATTTATCAGTCAAGGCAGATATAATTAATTCATATATTAGAAAGAAATATAATTCAATAGTAAATGACCAAAAACTAAAATTAAAACCATTATTTTATTAAAAGATATTACAGAATTACATATTTCCATAATTTAATATTTTCTTATATCATGAACAATGCAAATCAATACACTTTTACTAAAAGTTGAGTATTTTAAATAAAAAAAATTTAATGAAATGTAAATGGTATTGTTAATATAGTTTATCTGCCTTATTATCCTGATATTATGAACTATTTATAAGAATATATTCCCAGTAATGACTTAAGTGAAATTTTGCAAGAGTAAACATTAAATATTGTATTACTTCAATAAGAATTACAATTGAGTTCTATTTAAATTGACATACTTATCAAGTGAATTTTGGTTTCATCTTTTAACAGATTAATCCTTAACTGCAAAATATTAAAAACTAATCAACCCTAATATATCTGAATAACTGATAAATAATCTCTAAAGGGGAGTAAAAAATGTCTTAGGACGTCATCCCACAACTGTCTTTATGTTAAAGAACAATATCATTTACATGGAAAATGACTGCTTCATTGAAGCATTGAAAAAGATGGTTGCTTTCTTTCATATGTAATAAAAAAGCTGAGTGAGTATGACATCAGTCTCAGCACTAATTATCTATCACTATCATGATAATTAGTATTGCACTCTCAATTAGAAACAGTGGTAATGAGTTTAAAGAGTTTGAACAGGCCTCTGGTGATGTTTGAATTGGTGACGGGTAACATGGCCCCAGAAGTCTGTATTTTTTGTTTAATTAAGAAAATCTACTTTTTAGTAACATAAAAGAAATAAGTAAATTATGTAAAAGACACAAAAGGAAAGTAGTTTCATAACAGTTTGACAAGTTGCAAATAAATAAAGTTTTCAGATAGTAGAGAAATAAATATAGTAGCATACAAACAAAATGAATAGTCAGAAAAAATAAAAAAAAAAACAAAAAATAAAATAAATGAAATAAAATAGGATAACGAAAAAAATTATTTATTTATTACGTTTTTAAAATAGGCGAATAAATATAACAAATCAGAAATGAATATCTCTAATTTTTAGAAAAATTATGAGAATATTTGGGATGAGATAAAATATTTGGAAGTATATTTTTAAAAAAGATTGACTAGTGTGCCAGGAAGAACTATCCAAAAACCTAGCTAAAATTTAATTTATACTTAAGATGAAAAACATGGAGATTAATGATGCAAAAGATAATAAAACTTGCTTATGTAAATAATTAATTAAATCATTGATCCTAAATTCAAGAATTGTAAATTACATATTATCAGTCAGCAACACAATAGCACACATTGATATTTATGATACATTATAAGGGAAGAATTAAAATGATGAAAAATGGTTTCAAAATTTCTCTAAGTTTTATCCCGTCACCAATGTTTTACTTTACTCTGCAACGAGTTTCATTTCTGAATATTTTACGAATATGTTATATTCAACAAAATACAAATCCCTTTACATGCAAATAGTGTATTCAAAAAGATTTTTAAATATAAATATTTTGAACCGATCAAATGCTCTGGCAGTTAAACGCTTTATTCTTAATATTTATGTCATTTACCTTAAATCTTAAATTATCAAATCATTTAATAATATAATCCATGGTGAAAGAATTACAAAATTTTTTAACTTCTGACAGAGTAAATATAATAAGTCTTTGATTATATTATTCTCAACAGAATAAAAATTGATACTTATTGATTTAAGTATTGTCATTTTAGCAATAAATCAGTTTTTGGAATAACTTTACTTATAAAATTGTGAAAACAATTATGAAGCTAATAATTTTATTGCTTAACTAGACATGACATCCAAATTAGCAGATTCTATGGTATATGTATCTTTTTTAAAATAAGAGAAAAGTAAGTATTTGGTGTAACATTGGTATTTGTCAAAAAGTATCATCTATGATATGAAAGAATAGTAGTAACCCAAAGAAGCCGTTGCCAAATCCAACGAGGTATTCTGCATGGCCCAAGACTAGCCATTGCACTGGCTATATGACGCAACCAATCCCGAATACCACGTGGTGCATGTCCCCCATTGACATAGAGAACATAAGTAAAACCATCTTTACATTTGCCATGGATTACATAATAGTATGGTAAAAAACTATGTAATCGGAAGTGACATCTCTGATAAAATAAAATAGCTGGTGCATTGCTAGATAATACATGCAGGAAGACTGCTTTTACGGAAGAACGTTCTGGAGCAGTGACATGTGCTAATAATTGTTCCAACAATAACGATGCAATCCCATTTCTTCTATATGCGCGACGAACACCTAAGCTAAGAATATAACCCACTAAACAATCATTTCCTAAACTTGAACACAAAATACCACGATCTTCTGTGTTTAATTTGGCATAAGGCTTTATTTCTGCGACAATGAGTCCGATTATTACTCCACCATATACAGCAGCAAGTGCATAAAACCGTGAGGAACTTGTTATATCTTCATACCACGAAGAAGGATAATCTATGACAAAATAAATTTATACTTTAATATAAATATTGATATAATTTTTGATACAGGATAAATAAAATAAATAAAATAACATATAATAACATGAATAATTATATTACAAATTTTGTATAACTTTTCATTATTTAACAAAATAATTTATTATGTATCTATTAATCAATCCTTTATGATCTATTTTAGTTCAAAAATATATGTATATGTATACAATAATTTTTATTCTTTCTAAATTATTTATAAACTCCACCCATGATTTATTCCTTAATTTATGTTTAATATATATTATTATAAATAATAAAATGCATTAAAAAATTTTCCTACACAGGATTTTGTGTGTGTATGTTATATGTTATATATATGTAAAAATATATTATCTTGTAATTAATAGGAAAGTAAATAAAAGTATAACAATATTTAAACTTATAAGATGTTCTAATAATAGAATATGTCCTCTTGAGCTATCTAAGTTACTACTATTACATACAATTCTTACACCCTTTTTTACAAAAATATATAATATTTCACAATTAAAGGAGAAAATTGTTTGATAAACCATTTGACATCAAACATAATAGATACTATAGTAACAATAGAATATATTGTAGAATATATTGTATACTGTTACAAAGACTTGCTGAAAGATATAATAAATTAAACAAAAGTGAAGTAAACAAATTGTTTAATAACAAATTTATTCAGATAAAAACAAAATATAATAAGAAAATATTTCTATAAGACAAATTTATAAAAAAATTAAGAAATAAATATTAGTTAAAATTTTTCTTATTAAATATTCATAATATTTAATAAATTTATAATAATGAACTATGTTTATATTAAAAATAATTATTTTCAATATTTTAGAAATATACATTACAAATTCAAGAAAATAAAATAGAATCATTTTATTTTAGTTAATTTAACACTGTAGTTATGTTATAATAATTCAAAAGATGTGCCTAATCTTATCATTAATCTTATGATTAAGATTCAATATTTAATTATAAAAATTCAATATTTAATTATAAAAAATGTACAGGTAAAATAAAATAATAAAATAATAAAATTATTTTAAAATATCTAATATTTATCCAATATATTTTATACAAACTTTGTATTAAAATTGTTTTGTACTTGTACTATTTTGATGAGAATATACTTTCTATATTAACTAATTTTATACAAATGTATATTGCTTGTGATTATGGATTATAAATATAATTGATACAATAAATAAGACAAAACAAAAGTATAAAATACAACATTTTAAATTAAACATAATTTATGTCAAAAAAGAATATGATAGATAATTTATTTAGTTATATTATAAAAATAAAATGATTATTAATTAAAGATTCACATTTATGTATAAAGATAAAGTCTTATTTTATTCTGTATTGCAATTTTAATTAATAAGAGTTTTTGTCTTCGATATAATCAACAAATTTTTAAAAAGTGTATAAAATCATCTTCTTTTAGAGTTAACTTAATTTTTTTTAAAAAGTAATCCTTAAAACATTTGTATATTTAACATAATACTTAACTGCAATTGAAATATTATTATTAAACTAAATCAACAATCATGAAACCAAATAATGTAGGAACAATATTAGATTTATCAAGTTCAAAGATACTAAATATAAAACCAGAAAGGATTAATTACATGTAATAAACAATTGTAAATTACTTCTTATTAAATTATTTATAAGGTTTATTTTATAATATATAAAATATTTCATACCAATGGGGAACCAATCTTGACAGAGTGCCCGTACTTCCTCCAAATCATCTGGACACAGGAAACGTAACTGGACATCACCCAAGACACACAAAGGTACAGTTGCCGGTATCACGGAGGATTTTTGTTCATTAGATGAATTTCTTGTTGTATTTTCATCCGTATATTTATGTTTATTTTCTTGAGATACCTTGTAGTCACTTTTTTCAATTTCCGGTAAAATAAGGTATCGATTAAAAGATACGGCCATCACGCCACAACTTTTCTACCATTTCATTAGTCATTTCTTGAACAATGTCAAACATGTCACGTTGCATGTAAACGTTTGCTAGTAAACATATTGAGATCCGCAGACATTTTGTCCCCCCTCTATAATTCGCAATCTTTATCGTCTCTCACTCCCTCTTTTACTTCGATCTTCTTTCTCCTTGTCTATCCTTCTCTTTCACCTTTGATTTCTAACACACGAGATTGAAACAACCACAAAAATTTGATCATAACATGATTCTTCGATTTTATGCTGTATAAATCGATATATATACGTCTTATTCGATTTATTTTACATAAAGATAATAAAAAGCTTTTTTCAAAAATCAATTTAATATATATATATATATTCACAGAATACAATATTCTGTCATTATTAAATACAATATTCACAGAGAAATTATCGTAAGGTATACGTATAAGTATAAAAATGTTTAAAGTATATAAAGAAACTTTATAAGTATCTTTATCAATTGTCAGCAATTTTATTTTTATAATCAATCATTAGTAGAATATGTCATAACAATGAAAAATTATTTACTACATTTAAATATTCCTATAGTAATTAATTTAATAATATTTGATATAAATTTTATAAAGAAATAATTAAATAAATTTCATAATATTTACATATATATACATATAATACATATATTTTACATAGGCATATGTAACATATATATATTCTATATTGAATGAATACATCATTTTATTGAAACATTTATAATCTCTTTTAAACTATTGTATTTTAATTGTAGAAAGGTAAAAAGTCTTTGAACAAGGAATGAATTTAATATTGAGTTTCAATTTGCATTTTCAAGTTCATATTGTCCTTTGACCAACCCTCATCATCAATAATTACTGCATCCTTCGGCTTCTCTAATATCTCCTTTTTTCAATAAATTTTTTATTATTTTTTCTTTGTTATTTCTATAATACTACACCATTTAAGAAATACCAATATTACCAATATCCTCCAAGAAAAGATGATAAAATTGTAAAAATATAACATAATATATAGTATTACCTGCATATGTATATGACCATCGACCGTGATTGAACATGGCTATATATCAAGTAAGTGCACTTTTATGAATCGAGCAATAGTTTTGCGTTGATTCAAATAGCCATGAAATATGAGAAACAGGAAAAACAAATGAGATATATATAGCAAAATGCTAAATATAGTAAGTTTATTGAATGATATCGAAATGACACTATTGAATTCGTTTCTAAATGTCATTTGTTTCATTTAAAATTAGTTTAAATCTGTTCATGTTTTGTATCATTTGATATCATTTCGTAAGAATGTCAGCAATCTGATTATGATACTTTTTTAATGATAAAATATAAATTATAAGAAATTTAATTTTTTCTGTTTTGATAATACTGGTTGAGTCACAGTCTATATGAATCATAGATAACATAGAGCCTTGCTTTAAGCAGGCAATTCCAAGAAATGGTAGGAATAACTCATAATCATATATGTGAGTACATTCGTGGCCATATACATGAGCAATATTGTAATTATAAATTTGTGTTTACTACTTCTAACTGGTTCACAAATCATAAAGGAATTCAAGCAAATATACCACAAAATTTACTATTAAGAATTTAAAAAAAGCAAGATTGTCAGGTTCAATGTTAAATTTTAATTCAGCTTTTATATCATTAGCTAGAGCACAAGTGTTAGAGAGGAAACCACTTGGACGGTGGGGATCGCGTTGCTTAGGAACAGGACGCACCGGCGCGATGCTGGTACCAATGTTATTTCATTTCTATATAATTTATGACATGACATAAGTAAAATCAAGATTTATTTCATTACTTATTACATTTCTGTAATGTCTAATATAGATATGGTTACAGTTATATTATAATTAGCAGTTAGCATCACATTGCGTAGCATTATGCAACTTATATATTTACATTCTGTTGCCACGCAACGCGATCTTTATTAATTCCAACGGTTTCCTTACCACTCGATGATGGCGAGGAGTTTCACTCAATTATTTTACTGCAATATTGAACCTAACACGAGCTGCAATTAATTGCTGATGTGTAATATTGATTCTGACAACGATGAAAAAAGCTAAAAATTTTTTAAAATGAGAAAAGGGAGGTTTGAATATTAGAATTCGAATTTGCAATCTTCAGACTTAAAGGTCATTAGTTAGTCAATTTACAAATACAAATGCGGAGATCATCTTTTCATTTGTCACTGAAATCAAAACAAGAGACAAAAATAAATTAAAACCAGGGACAGTGTGCACCTTAACTAGAATTAAGTTAGATTTAATTAATAAAAATCAAACATATGTTACATATAATGTATCCGAGAACAAGTTAAAATTAATTAATAACAAGATATATGAGTGATTTTGTATACTAAAAAATTTCTAAAGTATTTAGTTATCAGATGTTTCAGAAATTAGTGATATTACGACATAATACAATTTTTATATATTTGTATATATGTATATATTTTCATTGTATATATTGTACTATATTTGTATACTTGTATTCTATGTTACAGGTAAATCTAGAAGAGCGCAAAGATCTAGAATTATTCGCGTAAATTTAAGATTACTTATGATTCGTATGTAAAAGTCAAAATTTAATTTAACTCATATACGTTTCGATTTTTACCCGAGTAAAACGTGTTCTAAGGGTAAAACAGTATAACTAGACTTTGGTATATTTGGTTTATAGCATGTGTCTAATGTGAATGTAAAAGTTAAAAATTGCTTATAAAAAATCGCAGTATAATGTTTTTTGATTGTATTAATATATAAACGTGTAATAAATATATACATATTTGTGTCTAATATTTATAAGAAATATGTAATACTTTTAACTATCACAAAAATAAGATTAAATATAAATAATTAATGCTAAATAAAAATTTGGACAATAACTTTGTGACAATATTTTACTAACTAAATTTAGTAAATTATTATTTGGTATTTAATATTAGTCTATAAAGATATTTCATATTAATCACTATGTAACTAATGCATTACAAGCTGATATGTAAATATATGTTACTAATATCATAATACTCCTATTCTTGTCTAATAATATTTTTCTTATTATATTAAAATAATACTCTTATTCTTGTCTCGTAATATTTTTCGTAAGATAGCATTTAAATTAAGTTAATTGAAGACACATTTCATTATTTGAACTAGAAATTTTGTAGGGGAAATAAAATATTAACTATGGTGGCAATACTGTGGTACAGGAAATAAATGTAGACTGTCATGAAGTTATCTTTGTAATGGAGTATAGATTTTTATAAATATATGTTTGTTAATTTATAGTAATAAATTATATTACTTAAATCAACGTTATTTCATATATTTTTTTTGGAAGCTATTTATTATACCTATATTTCTTCACTTCATTAAAAATTTAGGGTAAAATGGGCTTAAACGCGTGTTAATGATGTAGACTAATATTTATATAGAAGTACTATATTGGACTTACATTTTGCACTTTATTATTGTCATTTGGTATTTTATTACTGCCTAAATTACTTGTATGTGCTTGTATATATATATAAATATATGTATAAAAGATGTAATGCAATATATGTAATATTATATGTAATATTGAATGTATGAGTGAAACATGTTCCTCGTGTCTTATAAAAGATTACCCGTTATATTGGGTTATGAGAATTATAAAATTAAACAAAATTCAAAGAATTCAATCGATATAAATTAAAACAATAGAAATGGTTATAACAAAAAATCATTCAATAAGTCGATCCTCTAGTTGTTTACGAAAGTATCGAATACTGTTTGTATTTGGTATTACTGTACTATGTGTACAAATTTATTTAGCTCATACATTTTTTGGACTGGAAATTCGAAATCGAAAATTTAATCGATTGTCTTCAGCAGAAGTAAGACTTATATATACTATTTATATGTACTATTATAATTACTATTTATAATATAAATATCATTTAATAACTATATTATTAATAACAATATAAATTATATATTTGTCATACAGGATTTATCTCAAACTGTAGAAGATGAAGGTTTACCAAAAGGTTTACGTCAATTGAAGCTTCCACCTGACAAAAATAGTAATTCAAATAAGATTTTACAATTTCAGCAGAACCGTACTACTAGAATAAAATTAGATCGTAAATCATTGAATTTTACACCACCTTGTGAATTTACTGGCAGAGAAGCAGTGAGTGCAGTAACACGTGCACAAAGTCAAGTATGCAAACAACGCATTGTCAATGTGACGTGCCTTAATCAACAGGGATTATTATACCCAGAAAGAATACAATCTCTGTGCCCTCATTCTCCAGGATTTATAGATAAACCAGTCAGTTTAGGGTGTTTTAAAGATGATAAAATATTAAGAATACTTTCGGGTTATTACCATGTTTTTAAAGGGAACAATTCTCCAGAACGCTGTGCTTTCTTGTGTCTTCAATCAGGATATTTGTATGCTGGTATTGAATATTCGTAAGTACTATAAATAGCAATATTGCTATATTAAGCATTAGTTATTATTTTGAGTCAGCTATACCAGTATCATGTTGCTTTTTTCTCTTATTATAATTGAATTATAAAATTAGATGTATATCTTATTAAATGTATTTATAAATGTCTTAATTTAGCGTTGAATGCTTTTGTGGAATGGAAAAACCATCTCAGTTAAAACAATTACCAGATTCTAGTTGTAATATGAAATGTTCTGGTAATCCAAAATATTCTTGTGGTGGATATTTAACAATTAATGTATTTTGGACTGGAATTCAAAGTAAGGAAGTAAAGAATTAATATGTTTATAGCTTATATATTCATTATTAATTTTAACAATGTGAATTTATAATAGATTTCTTCTTTTGTTTAATAGGATTCAAGGCACAAGAAGCTCGAAATACAAGTACAGATATTGAAAATGAAAAATCTGCTCGAATAGCATATTTATTAACAGTAAATGGCAGAGCCAGTCGTCAAGTAAAACGACTTATCAGTATTCTTTATCACCCTTCACATTTATTTTATATTCATGTCGATGCGGTAATTAAACAAATTTTTGTTTAATACAATACAATAATAATTTGTTATAATTGATATATTTTATATTTTTAGCGACAAGATTATCTTTATCGAGAAATGTTAGAAGTGGAAAAATCATGCAAACCAAATAATATTAAAGTAGCAAGAGGAGAAAATTTAAGACATGCAAGCATTTGGGGAGGTGCAAGTCTTTTAACAACTTTCTTAAAATCTGCACAACAAATGCTTGCACATCATCATCATTGGGATTTCTTAGTCAATTTATCAGAATCTGATTTTCCTATAAAAAGCAATGCGCAGTTAACTCAATTTCTTAGTTTGAATAAAGGAATGAATTTTGTAAAATCTCATGGAAGAGAAGTTCAACGTTTTATTACCAAACAAGGTTTGGATAAGACCTTTGTCGAATGTGAAACTCGTATGTGGAGAATAGGTGATCGTAAATTACCAGATGGTAAATTTATTTTCTTTATTTGTATTTGATATTAACCATACATATTTAATTTATACCAAAAAATTGTTTTTTATAGGTATTCAGGTAGATGGTGGTAGTGACTGGGTAGCTTTAAGCAGAGAATTTGTAGAGTATGTTGCTAATCCAAATCCAGATACATTAGTGACTGATCTCTTAAAAATGTTTAAGTACACTTTATTACCTGCAGAATCCTTTTTTCATACAGTTTTACGTAACTCAAAATTCTGTAATACCTATATAGATAACAATTTACATGTTACTAATTGGAAAAGAAAGTTAGGTTGCAAATGCCAGTATAAAGCTGTGGTTGATTGGTGTGGCTGCAGTCCAAATGACTTCAAACTTGAGGATTTTAGCAGAATTCGAAATACAATAGATCGTAATTTGTTTTTTGCTCGAAAGTTTGAATCTATTATTGACCAAAGAATTATAGACAGGGTAGAAGAGTGGTTGTACCCTGAAAATTTAAATAAAACCGTTAATGCAAAAGGTTATGATGCATATTGGCAAAATTTATACCACACAGCAGATTTGAGTCCTCTGACTGATGATGCACAATTGACTATTTCAAATTCCTTAGCAAGATTGATTTTTCGTAAATTAAATGTAGATTACAGAGATATACATCTTTTGGAAACAACTGCCTATTTTAAACAAAATCAGTTTGTTGGAATATTAATTCTTGCAGAAGCTACATTGCAACGAATTGTTGAGCCAGAATATATGGAACAAATAGAATCTTTAATTTACTTAAGGCACAACTTTTCAACTAGTACAGAATGGTTAGGAAAAATACAAAGTTTATCTGTTAATACTGATTATGATCAAAAAGAAAAAACATTTAGAAATTTAATGGGGAGCATAGGACCATATTCATATCCAGTTTTATCATATGAATTTGATACTGGAGTTACAACACCACAAAATCTATCAATACTGTGGGTAGATCCTTATGGTCGATTAGCGGATGTTAACTATATACAGCTTGAAGAAATGACATTAGTAAATATAAGACCTTTTTAATTGATCATTTTATATTTGCCATTCTTTCAAATAATTAACATTTTACTTATTTTCAGACAGGGTATGTTAGACCACAATTAAATGAACACTTGGTTGTGGGTACTTGGCATCTATTCTTAGTTTCTGATTCTGTATTAGTAGCAAGAATGAATTTTTTGGTGACTCCATTAGAATACTGGAAAAATAAAAAAATTGATGCAGAAAAAGCTAAAGAAGTAAATAATGCATCTAGTAATAGTTATCATATTACTGAAGAAATGAACAAAAAGTGGTCACATTTATTAAATTCCGTAAATTTTTACGAACGAACTACTGATATGACAGATAATGAAATAAAAATTAATTCTAACTTGGATAAATGGATAGACAAGTTAGTGCAAGAACATTATGAAATTGATAAAATGTGCAATGTTAATGATACTAAATTAAAATTACAAAAGTGTATTAATACTTACTGGAGCTCATTGAGCCCAGATTTAAAGGCTGATATTAATAACCTATGTTAAAACTATTAATTAATTTACTAAATATGTGCCATTCTCAATATTTTTAAAGTTTAACTTATTAAATACGTGTAAAGGTTAATAATCTTTTTAGATATTTTTATATCAAATACATGCTATACATATTCATATGGTCTATTTTAAAAGTATTTTACATCCTAAAACTAAGAAATTTTTAAGCTAATATAAGGTAATTTTTTGTCTTCCTTTGCATATCAACATGTCAGTAAATTTGATTATTTCATTGTAATGAAGTACTTCTTTTCCTATTATACATCTATAAAATTTTGTTGACATATGTAAAAAATGGAATATAGATTTTCTCTTATGTTTGATAATTTCATATGTAATGTATATTTTATAAGAAATCACAAACATTTAAGTTTATTATAGAGAAATAAGATATTTAGAATTTTTGTTGAAAAAACTTAATAATTTATTTGATATAATACAAGTTTACATCTTACAAATGAATGAATTATGTTCTACATACTATAAATAAAAACTATAATTTTTCTGTATATTTACAAAATTTGAATTACATTCCTATAAAATGTTACTATATGTGCCTTGAATTTTGTTAGTTAATAGTAAGTTCAAATTTCACTAATACTAATGTGGCTATGTTGCTCTATTTTTAAATAAAAGATAAACTAAAAATAGAAGTTTATTTATTGTTGTATATTTTTGTTTAAAAATAAATTTATTAGCATATTTTATTTTACATAATATTTTATTGCATCTCTGTTGTGCAATTTATCTATGAACATGTACATTTTCTGTTAATTTATTAATTTTTTTGTAATGTATACAATGATAATTATCATACAAAAATGTCTGCTACAATTGTTTATAAATAGTGAAAATAAAAAACCAAATCAAGTGAATAAATGTCTTATTATTTAGATTGCTATATCAAAATGGTGCAAGAATTCTTTCTCAGTTAACTAAATAACATAGTATAAGTAAAATTATATTAATGTATTAGGTAAAAAGTAATGAACTAATGATAATTACAAAGAAAATTCCATTTGTAGATAAAAATTTTTGAATTTAATAAAATTAACAATTATCGTTAATATGTAATTATTTTCTTTAAACTGTTATTAAAGTTATATCTTATTATAACGTAAACAATTAGTGTATATGACAGATAATATTATTAATATGATCTATTTGAGCAGCTACATTACTCTTACTTAATTTTAAATCTAAAAATCATTAGGAAGAAATAATTGATTCTATAATTTTATATTATTTATAATGAATGGGACGATATATATGAAAGGAGAAATATATAGGATAATAACTATTTTATACCTATTAACGTTAATTTCACATTTCTAATTTTTAAAATATAAATATATTATTATATAAATATAATTCGAACAAAATTACACTTACTTATTTCTTATTTACGTTTAATTGTTTTTTTAACAATTATATTGTACTTTTGATAACTAAAATACTATTAGTTAAAGTAATTACATAAGTTGGATTGTGTAGTAAAAACTATTAATGATAGGTGGAACGAATAACTTATTTCTCTTGCTTCTGTGCCGTCTCATAATAATTCTTGTGAGACACACGGTATAAATCTGTGCTCTGTTATCCACGATATTATTGTAAATAGTCGTAGCTGTTTTAAAATATTGCATTGAAAATATCAATTACTTCTGATAAATTATAAACTATAAATTATAAACGAAATAAAAAATAAACGCAATACAAACAAGTTTTTCTGTGTTAGTCTATGTGTATACAAGTTATTGTATATTGTAATATAATTAAAAGTATCTAATATTCGTAAGATAATATATTAACAATTATTTAAATAATAAATCGGTGGCGTATGTGAATTCAGAAAATATATCTATTTGGTATTTTAATACCAAGAAAACATAATATAAATGTTAATGTGGTATATAAAAAATAAAATATATGCCAATTACATAAAACAAAATATTTATCCAATAATTTCTTTATAAAACTTTATAAAGTTTTTAATTTAACATTAGTTAGTTTCAATCTGAAGTAACATCAAATAATTATATATAATATAATAATAAGAAATGCAACAGAGATAGAACTATAGTAATGTTTAAATTAATATATTCCCAAAGATATGTTTTTCAAAATAAAAGAATGTTCCCGCTTACATATACTTGTATGCGACATAAAACACAAGAGAAAAAGAAGGAAGAAAAATATAAAATATTTAATGTCAAAGAATATTGGTTTAATAAATACATGAATTATATTAAAAATTATGAAAACGTTTTGGAAAAAAATTTTCCACGTACAATACATGTGTATCGCATATTTAGTGTTGGTACCAAAGATTTTATTCAAGAAGCAATAAAATGGCTTATGATATTGAAAAAAGAAAAAATTGATGGCATTGATACATTAACTACAGATGAGCTACGAATATTGCATACAATGCGTAAAGATATAATAAAATTATGTCCTGTTTTATTAATATCTGCTATTCCTTTTACAAATTATATTATCTTTCCTTTAGCATATCATTTTCCAAGATATTTTCTAACTTCTCATTATTGGACTTTACAACAAAAACTTGATTTTATGTTATTGGAACATAAAAAACGATTAAAACATAACAGACCACTGTTCAGGTGCATGCAAGCAGAGTTTCATAATATTAAAAATCGCACATTGAGATTAAAATGGAGTGGTATTATTGCATGTCTTGGCAGTGGTACTCACCCTGATGTAAATGATATTATTGCTTGTTCTGCATTATTTGCTGATAAACCATATTCATTACATAGTCTTAAACGGAGACACACAGTACGTTGATTTTAACATAATTTAAATTAATTTTATATATTTTATAAAATAAAGTATAAGAAACTATATTATTCATTTACATAATTGTGGATTTCCTTTTAATCTATTAAAAATAATTAATTCTGAATTAACTTTTAGATAGAATTACTTGGTATACATAATATATCTTATTGGAAACTTTTTAAAAAATTGAGTTTATTAGAAAGAGGTATGTTAATAAAAAAAATGGATGAAAGCATACAAAAAGAAGGTGGAACTATAGCAATGTCAAATGATGCAATACGTTGGGTGTGTATAAGATAATTTTTTAACACTTTTAATATTTTTTTAAACTATTTATTTAATGATTTTTTATTACATATTACACTATATATAATACATATATTCAAATTGTAAAATATTTCAGGCACTTTCATTTAGAGGTCTGAATCCAGCAAATATGTCCATAGAATGTATGAGGAATTGGCTTGAAAAATGGTTAACAGTATCAAATATAGTTGAGGATGAAACACTTTCACTATTATTACATTGTCCAATATTATTAGCATACAATCATCCTACAAATTGGATCCTTGTATACAAATAAAACAATACAATTAAATGATTGTTCTTTTTATTCTAAAAAGATGTATAAGAATTATAACATTATAAAATTTTGAAACAATACAAATATCTGTATTTAAATTATTTGTACAAACTGTTTATATAATAATATATAATTTTATACTTTCACTTCATAGCATATACATATATATATATATATATATATAAATTCTACAGTATCTACTATACATATGTACATATGTATGTGGAAAGGATATCAAACATACATTTTATCAATGTTATATACATATTTCTTCTATTGTACTTATTAGAATATTTTTTCTCAAATACCTAACAATAAATTTATTATTTTTTTCTTTTTAACAGGATTGCATTATTTTAGGAAAATAAAAGAAGCAAGATTACTATGAAATGATTATAACTTGTTTATAGATAAAATACTTTCATTTTGTTAAATATACATTTTTCATCTGCATAATTGTATACACATTACAAAATATAATTCTGATTTTGTATATGTTTAAACATAACATAATACAAATGTAACCTTTTCAATAGTTATAAGTATAAATTTTATCACTAGTCAAAACATAAGTTATTTTATCAAATTACACAAATGTGATATGTTATATGAAATAAATAGATGCTATGATAAATTCTAAAAAAATATTGAAAGAATTTTATAGACAATTATATTTATCTATATTAATCAATAGGTATATAAGCAGGCAGAACACCAATTGGAGGACGTTTCAATATCTTTGGATCAGAAATAGTTTCTGATTCATTACTATGTCCATTTATTTCTGAATTTGTATTATTATCAGATTTTTCAATTCGAATATTAATATAATCTGCTGACTCTACATTTTTCATAAGTTTAATTTTTTTCATTATACTTTCTCTTTTTTTATCAAGAGATTTGTTTAAAGTATTTGCTTGTTCATAATATCTAAGTCTGTTTTCACTATTAGAGGTTGAAATATCTTTTGTAATAGGAGATGTTGCTTGATTATTATGCATATTGTACTTTCTTTTTAAATGAATTTGTATCTTAGAAGATGATTGTGATTTATGAGGATAAGGACAATGCGTACCTTTGCTGCATTTTTTTGTTTTCTCAAATTCTGGACATAGATTTTCATGACGCTGCTTACACTGTAAAAGAAGAGACTCCCAGGTCTTGAAATATTATCTTTTATGCATTATTAATATGTTATAAGTTGAATTTAACATATAAAAAATTCATAAAAATATTAAAAGAATAAATGATTACACATTCTCTCTTGAAAGATATATGTTATTTTTAACTAATAAATGTTATAATAGAAAATATATCTTTCTTAAAATATTTTTCCATTAGTAAATTTTAAAGTTAATTGTCAACAGATATATAAATTATTATTAAATATAGTTTACTAAAGGTTCTTAGCAAAAGAAATTAAACAAACTTAAGTAGCAAATTAAATTTATAAGTTAAAAAAAAATATTAATAAACTTTCAATGTTATATATTAATAAAATTTTTAAATACTACACTAGGATTTGAATTATAATTTGAGTTAAATTTAAATTTAATAATCTAATAAAGTCAAAAATATTGTACTTACCTCACTACCCTTGGCACAATATCCTTGTAAAAAATCTATACAAATTGGTGTACTGGAAGAAACTTTGATGTGACGATAAGGACATGCATCCCGTGTACAACAACCTTCCAAGAAGTACTTGCAAGTTGGCATTTTTTCTGGACCTACATCATGAGATAGTGGACATTTATCTAATAAACAATTTCCTTGAAGAAATCTAAAAAATATTTTTTTTATTAAATAAAGATCGTTTGCTTTAGGCATACATGAGTAGAAATATAATTTTACTTTTTACAAAGAGAAATTTGTTTTTTATCATGACGTTTTACACAAATTCCTTTTTCATGATTTGAACAAAATCCAAATTTTTGAAATATTAAACATGGCTGATTATTTTTTCGCATTTTGTTGCGTAGTATTTGTATACTTCTCTGTTTGACTTTATTGCTGCAAGTAGAAGAAAATTGGCATTACTGATACATAAATTTACAAGATTTAGTAATAATATATTGTAAAATTAAGTAGTACAAAGAAATTTAATATCAATTAATATCACAAAATATATTAAATAACCAGATAAATATAATTAATAAAATGAAGATATAAAGTCAAAGATAAAACAATGAAATAAAAATATTAAGATGTGTATCAGTATATATATATGTATACCTTATATTATTTTTATAATTTATTTTTTGCGACATATTAGATGAAAATTTAATTCCATTCGTTGTATTTAAAATTTTTGTACTTGAATTTCCTGATGTTTCTTTCATAGATTTTATTCTACATAATTTTTTACCATTAGTGGCAATAATAAATTTGTCAAGTTTCAAATTTATTACTCTTTTTTCTAAAATTGAGATTACAAAATATAAGAATTATTATATATTCATAGAATTCTAGATTACATAATATTATGACTTACTTTTTGCACCATAACTTTTGCGTACTAAGTGATTTTTGGAAGATTTATAAACAACTCCTTCAATTGTAATTAATTGCATTTTATTATTTCTGTAAGATATTTATAAATTAATTAATTTTTAAAGCACAAGTGTAGAAGTTATACAAAATTTGAAAGAAAATATTAATTTACTACATATACATACATAGACTTTTTTTGATTCAGATTTGCATGTTTTCTGATATTTGAAGTTTTTGGTGCAGTTCGATCTATTCTGTACTTGTTTATTTTAGGTTTTGCAACTGTTGATTTTACAATGTTAGAACCTTTACTAATTGACTGCTGTATAGCATTTATTGATTTTGTTTTCATAATTCTTTGAGAAGTAGGTTTAACATTCTTTTCTATTGAATTTAAGGATTTTTTAATCTTACAAAGTTCAACTTGTGAAGTACTAAAAGATTTTCTTGATCCTCGTCTTACACGTATAAGTTTTCTTTGTGATAAAACTAAGATATTGGAATTGTTTATTTTCTTTTGATTATGAATAACCTTTGGAGAATTTGTACTTTTAACAAATTTGAGTCTTGAACAAACAGGATGAGTAATATTTTGTATCACTATTTCTTTATGTTCTGCTGGTTTTGGTTGTATAGAGGAAGACAATTTTTTCACTAATTTTGGATTAACATGTACTGATTTTTGTATAGAATTTGTACTCATCATATTTATAGAATTATTTTGCATATTTTCATTAGAATCAATAACGTTTCTCATTATTTTTGGATTAACATGTACAAAAGATTTCATACGTAATTTTGGATTGATATATATTGCAGAACTTTGAGGTTTAAAGTTTGGATTAATATATACATTAGTGCTTGTTAACATGTTGCATGAAGTACTATTACACATTTTAGGTAACTGTTGAGATTTCTGAAGTAAATTTACATATTTCTCAGATTTTGAAAAATTTATATTTTGATTTATAACAGGTTTTTCTACACAACATAATTTATCTGACGATTTTTTTTTATGATTTTCTATTAAACCTGAAATAAATAACAATAATTTAAAAAACTAATACATTACAAATATATAAATATAATATATTAAATAATTTAACATATATTTAAAGCTAAAATGATTAAAATAGAGTTTTCATATTTTACTAAATATGCATAATAGAAGTTAAAAAATCACAAATTATTATGAATTCCAATAAATGTTCTTATCTTTAGATTTTTAGATATTTATTATTGTAATTTATAACCGAAAAAGAAATAATTAGAATTAAATATAATTTTAAAATGAATGTGATTAGAATAAATAGCACACAGTATATGTTACTAATTAGAAAGTATTTAAAAACATGAAAATATTGAGATAAATATATCAATTCTTAGCATATATTAAAAATTGATGAACACAATATGTATTATCATAAAAATAGTTATAAAGTATTACTTTCTAATCTTCCTATTCTTCGATATTTCGTCTTTAAATAATAATATAATTTTATTTTCTATTAAATAGAATATTTATTTTAATTTTAATATTCTAAAATATATTGAAACTTTTATTTGTTACTACATTTACATTGTGATAATTGCATAAAATTGTAAACTTACGCGTTAAGTAATGTATTTCTTTAATTAATCTCTCGTCCATAGTTATCATAAAATGTTATTTTTTAGTTGCTTATTACTTAATAAACAGAAAAAGGAGGTTATAGCTAATAAATTCACACTAAAGCAAATTATTCCGCAAATCACTGAATTTCACAAACCACAATACGTTGTCATTCGTTATGCCACAGCATGGAAATAAACTATTTAAAAACAGATGTCGCTTTTTGATAAACTACAAACGCTAGCATTGTATGTGAACAATAAATGAACTATTTTCTATCATGGTTGAATAGCGGGATATTTTAACTTACAATTTTAAATTTTATGAATATAATAATCTAATATAATTAATTTGTAGTAATAGATATCCATTGTAACTAATAAATTTGAAAGATTTGATAACATTACATTTTTATAGAAATGTAATAAAGTAATAAGTTTAAAATTAATATTTATTAATCAGCTAAAAGAGTTATTTAATACCCAGACTATGTCAATACTTAAAAAATGTAGAAAAGGATTTATAAAAGGAAATCAAAATATATATACATGTTTAAAAAACGGAGCAAGGAGAGAGGGAGAGAGAGAGAGAGATTGTGTGTGTGTAAGAGAGGGAAAAAGAGAGAGAGAATGTGCGTGCGTGTGTGCGTCTGTATGTGTATGAGTCAGATAGAGAGAGAGAGAGAGAGAGAGAAAGAACAACTATTTTATTTTTCATTAAAATATTGACAATATAAATGTTATAATATTAAAAAATTTATTGATTACAATACTCATTTACAAGAAAGTTATCCATTTAGATATTTAATTAATTATAACAGTTTAAAAAATGTTGAAAATTATTTCTTTGAACAAAAGAAAAATTAGGGCATAAATACAGATTTGTAATATATAGTTTAAGATGAGATTTTACATATAATAATTTAAAAATAATGCATTAATTAGATTATTAAAAATGAATTAAAATACGGAAACTTTTTATTACATTTCACAATTACTTTTATTATGAGCTATTAAAATAATACGTATTACATATACATATTTTCTCTTAATTACGAATTAGTTAGTACTATCACAAATTTTTTATTTTCTTTTATGCATAATGTTTGCAAACAAAGTATTGAGGAGTGGCGGTTCCAATTTACAATTATCGTACACTTCAGAGTAGCTTTACTAACCTAATGTGTATAGAGTATTCATAGACTAATCTATATAAGAGTTTATATGATTAGTAAACAAATTTTATTTAATTAAATTTTATTTAATTATTACTATTATGTTACATCGACGATTATATTACTGGAAAAATAAAAAGGAATTGTTCCTTAGCGAAATGTACTAAATACAATAGAGTTATTAAAATTTAGTAAATTTATGAGTATCGTATTTTATGCATCGTAATGCATCTATATATGTATCTCATTATTAGATATCAAAGGAAGAATACAAACATTAAGATAAATTACAACGTTATTGGATAATGTAAATTTATATATCTGTTATTTATTATTTAGTATATCTCGACGAATGTATAACATACTTAAATGATTTAAGTTTAAATAGTTCGCGCTTTTTCATAACGTTTCTCTTAACCTATACGCAAACGCAGAAGATATTGATCTGTGTCCATGAATATACTGGGTCGCATATAAAAGCTCTGTAACTTACCACTAAACTTATATATATCCACTTATCGTACTCAAAGAGATACCTTTTTTATGAAGAAAAACCGAAAGATTACTTTACGGGTGTAGAGGTTAGTAGTGCCGCGTTCTTATCTATGTATGTTCTTATCTTTCCAGTTTCCACAAAAAGATTTTAATTGTATATTTCTACACTAATTTGTATTTTTTGTTCTTTTTAAAAATTACTATTAGCTTCTTTTATGTTTTAATCAATATTTTATTGATCATAAAAGCTTTGTATTATTAATGTACTATATTCTCTGCGAAATAAAAATATATCATTAATATTCATAAATATTAATGACAACTAATATATGTATAAAATTATATTAAAAATATTAATAACGGCAATTAATATGTATACCAATATATTTTCACATTTTGAATGCATTTGATTGATAATTATGTAGTATACGTATTATTAAATGTATTAAATAAATTTCAATAAAAATTATTTGTTAAACTTTAAATATTCCTTTATTAATTAAAATTTTTATAGGAGTTAATAGTTAAATAAATGACGGTAATTTTATAGAATGATATAGATATATAAAAATCATTCTTCTAAATCTTCTAAAAATATTAATAATATGTACTTTATTATATAAAAATTTGCTATCAGTAAAATAATTTTTTTATAAGTAATCTTTAACAACTTTCTATGAATTATAGCAGCCTTGAGAACTATGTAAATTTGTATTTAATATTGTAATAGTTTTGAATAAAATCGATAATAAATAATAAATAGAATAAAAATGGTTATAAAATTTTGTTAGTTTGAAATCATTAATATTTGTAGTAACAATGTGCAGCTTTATTTAATAAATTGCATTTAATCCCTGTTAAAATGATGTATATATATACTTTCAAAAGCAAGCAAGCGGTATTACGCAAGTTCGTTCTCAATTTGTTTTTGAGGTGATTTATGAAAGATATACTCGTGCATATAAAGTACAGAGTGGAACTGAAAAAATTATTTCAAATTTTATTTCAAGACAGAAGTACTCTATTAATTAATAATTTATATGTATTATATATATAATTTCCATTATTTATGAACATATATTTGAAAGTATATAATATATAATATTACATCCTAAATTAGTATTTTAACATTTTTTTAATCAATATTTATAATTAAGAATATACAAAAATAAAAATTATTATAAACATAGGTAAACAATATTTTAGATAGCTAACATTAGGCCAAGTATAATTACATATACAGTTTCTTTTCTAGAAACTAGAGTACATGTCGTAAAACAATAACAAGCGTTTATATTTATAAAATGATTAGAATGTAACAAAGTACAGTAGTCACGAATAAAAACCGCGACTCCGTGCCAATTAATTAATTATTGAAATTGATACGAGTTAACATATGGATAAAATGTTATAAAAGCATTCGATATTTTTGATGCTTTTAAGGTAAATCAGATCAGATTAAATCCAGGCCGATAATAATTAAAATTAAATTAATATACTTATCAAGTATAACGTACCATATGTAACCTAACAAGCACTATTCAACTTGTGTATTCAATACAATTACTTCTGCCCTTAAAGAAAGTTGTATCGAAGAATATGAAATTATGTTAATCTATTAATATTAAATATAAATTAAATAAACGCAAGAAATTGTAATTGAACGTAACTGAAATGCAACGTCCTCGTTAAAATGGATAATTATTAATGACAGCAGCCTGGTGATCCCATTCACGCCGAAATTAATTTAAAATAGAGCAGTGAAAAAAGGAAAGGATAGAAGCGCGCAGCATCAGTACCGCGCAGGCTTCGTTCTTCCAGCATCAACGGGGACAATCTCCATATCAGTACCGAAAATTTCACACGGTGCAAGGTAGAAGTCACGGAATCGTAACGTGCCACAGGATTGTTACGTGGACACTATTTCCTTTAGTTCTTCGTTTTCCCTCGTTTCTTCTGTTGTGTTTCATTTCTTAAAACATATATGTCAGTGCGTACATATGTATGTATCACGTTGCACAAAGGACTACAACATTTGTCGCAGCTTCGGACGGGATAAACTTTAGCACGATCTTCTGTTGTTTGCTTTCGTGATTCAACAGAAGTATCAGGACGTCGGTCTCTTTCTACGATGGCAGATCACGATAACATCTACGACGACGAGGTAATTAATCGATTGGCTTATTTCCTGTGAAATTTTCGGTTTCCCTTTGTTCCCCTTTGTTTTGAGAGAACACGGAAAATATGTATCTCTTTGATGTTGGTAAACTCTGCGTGTAGATACTTTATCGTAGCAAAACTAGCGAATTTGTTTGTGAAATTTATAATTAATATACATGACATAAAAAGTGTTCGAAGAATGAAAGTTCGTCTACACGTTGGATAATATTTTTAATCGGTTACAATGTGTTTTAAGATTTTTAAACAGTGTCATTTTTTACAATACATGCCTATTTTTATTATAATTAAATGTGTCTCAAATGTTTAAATCGAAAAGGAGTAATTTTTTTCTTTTTACGAAGAGTTATGTTTTGTTAACGATATCTTAAATTAGAGCAAGAGTTTATTGATCGTAATTTTGAAATTTTGTTTTTCACCAAATTTGATTGCTACTTTTTGTAATTTATACTATACCATATATGATATAATTTTGTTTAAAAAGTAAATCTTTTTTAGGATTTTTGTGTGAAAACAAGAAAAAGTAGGATTAATTGTTGAAATAAAATTTATTTGCACAAAGATATATATATTTCGAGTTTGAGCGAAAGCTGTGATGTCAATAGATATAGTTTCCATGATTGATTAAAGAGATTGAATATTCTATTTCATCTTTTATATAGAAAGTTAATATATCACACAAAATATAATTTTTGTTACAAACAAAAGCAAAAATTTATAAATCGATGTTTTAAATAATTTTTACAGGAAAGTAAATTCAATAAAGTGAAATATAGTATTGTTTATTTTTCTTTCATATTGATACATACATTCCTATGCGAAAAACGTATAATATAGTATATCTCGCAATCCATTAGCACATTTCTTGTAGATTCAACGTTTTATTTTTAATATTTCAGATGAAAAATATCATTAGTTAGTTATTTATTTAAGATCATGAAATTTTATAAATGTTGGTGTCTTTGTAATTAAACATAAATTTAAATAAGGATGATTATTAATTACATTATTAATATTATACACTTTTTTTAAATAAATATTTTAAAATATATGTAAATTTTCTGAAATTTCTGGCATTTGGAGATTGTATATGTTATTATATACAATTTGTTAAATTATGTCGTGTTATGCAAATATACGAATATATTTGTAAATTATAATTTTCTATATTAAATTATACTTTTCCACGTGATTTATTTATTTCCTTTTTATTGTACCTTTAAAATATTTTCATTGTGGAGGTAGTATTTACTGCAAAAAGAAAAATAACAATTTATATGTAAAACCAAAGGGAAAAAATATATATCATTCATTAATTAACGAAAAAAAGAAATGCATATAGCAAATTATTTTTACAATTAGATGTTCGATGTAAAATTTAAAAATCGAAAATTTGAAAATGTAATAACATAAAAAGTATGTACTTTGATGAATTATGCTAATACAGTAGCACAGCTTATAAAATAGGAAACAATGTACATATGTACATATGTTTTCAAAATAATAATATAAATAGATTCACTGTAATATAATTTAGTTATTATAATATTTAGTTCTTTTTCATATATGAATATTATTTATTGATATACTTATATCAATATATTTGTTAATTTAATATATAATACTATTAATATCTTATAATTTATATTAATAAAAGTAGCATAATAGTTGTATTTTCATAATCATGAAATTTTTATGATAACTGAAAATTTATTTAATATGTATTCAAACAACCATTATAATATATATTATTAATATAATTATTAAACAATTATATGATGTATTAATTTTTTTAAATAAATATGTATGATATTGCAATTTATTTTTTAATAATTTTTACGAAAGTGACTCTATAGTTATTTCATTATTATTTCCATTTAATATTACGGCTTGTATCACAAATTTTTGACTTAAATTTTTAATAATTAGACATTTTATTTGTGTCTAAATATAAATTACTATTTGTACTGTGCGATTACATATGATGCTATATTAATAGATTACCGTGAATAATAGTTATTTAAAAACTCAATCATAATATGATTCTCGGTGATCGGTATACTTTGCTATAAGATAAAAGATCTAAATGAATATATAATATGGGTTATGCATATTTGATTCCTTTGTAGAACTTTTATTTTATTATCGATATTATATTTAACCATGTCTTTCTTGTATTTTTTTAATTAATAATTTTTTTAAAATTTAACAGTTTGTTCTATATAATTAAAATTATTATTTATTGTTATTTAATAGCTCTTGTATCTTTTGTATGTTTAATCATTTTTTTAATATAATTGTTTCTTAACATGACAATGTGAATGTAATGGATAATATATAAATAAGAGTAAAAATAATTAATGTATATGATTTTAATTTTATGTGCATCATTCCTACATAAGAATCAGATATTAAAAGGAGTTACCCTTATGTTATAAGATCAATAATTATATTACCCATAAATACGTAAAAAGTTAACATTGACCTACTGATACACTTAATCTAAAATTAATTATATTAATCAAATAATTAATTCATAATATAATTGATATTTTGTTATTGGTAGTTGTTCTAAAAATCTATTATATGGCTACTATGGAAACCATGTAGTATCTTTGCATTCTTCTGATGCCTATTAAATCATTTTTAGATACATGACAAAAAAATTACTGAAGTGTTTTTTTTTCTTTTTTAGCTATAAAATCAAATTTTTATTTATCAAATATATTTTTGAAATAAAATTTATCAATTTAGTAATAATTTAATTTTCCAAATACATTATTCTAGAATAAAATAATATAATATAAAAATATTTTTAGATAGTTCGAAATTTTATATTTAAATAATTTTTCCTTTGTTCATTGATATTTTAAATTTAGATATTATTCTATATCGAGATAACTATAAATTAATGTCAATCAACTCTTAACATTTTCGAATTACTAGTCATATTAATCTCCTTTTATTACTGCAATTTAATTTTAAATTATAACATAATTTTTATTAATTTCATCAAAGTTTAAATATTAATTTTTGGTACAAACATTTGAATGTTTTACTAATTTATAAAACAATATTAAATTACATAGAAGTGTTTCTATACTAATGTACATATATATAACAAGCATATCTACACTTACTATATTTTGAGCTGTAGGGTATGTTTTGTCTTACAATTGTTCAAATTTAAATATAGTTGAAGCTAAAAATAAACAAAATAATAACAAAAAGGTTAAAAAAAAAATAAAACAACATAAAAGAACGAAATAATTTAGAAATAGCAGAAAGATATATCAATGATTTTTACTTACAACAAGTATCTTTCTTAAAATACAATGTAAATATAATACTGATTGAATTTAATAACGAGTATACGTCACATCTGTTATGGTTGTTTAATTAAATATTAATTAAATGCTTGCAATACTTTCATCTTCGACATTTTTACATATTTTTTATTACTTTTATCCTAAATGAAACAGTGAAATAATCTTGTATATCCATGTAATGTAATTATCCGGCATTGGCGTTAGTGAGTACCTTTGTGATAGGAGCTAGTATCAGCGAATCCAAATCAAAGGAATTGGCGGGGGATTTTGATAGCTCTACTCGTGATCGTTGCGGTCCTAACTTTAATTGTGACATCGGTTGCCTTATTAACACCACCAGACGAGGGTCCCAGAGTAAGAGGCGCTAGAATAAGACTTTCCGAGGTAAACAATACAATTTATCTTCGATAATAATTAAACTACTATGCATATAAAAGTATTTAATTTGTTATTAAGATTTAATATATGTCGATATTTTAAAATTATTTAAACTAAAATAACCTTTTAAATAATATATTATGTTTTATAATTGGTTATTAATTTTTCAATCATTCTTTTAACAATTCATTATTAATGAAATTTCGTTATATAACCGTTTTATATTCCCACTTTATTCAACTGTTTACCTAATATGATTTAATGTTTAAAAAAATATTCGCTTAAAAGAAAATGAAAATTTCCGAATTTAAAAAAATTTTTTATTTTTAATTTGAAATTGTTATTCGTTAATGTGTGTAAAATATTTAGTCATTAACGTTTCAGGAACATTTTTACACTGTTATATCACGAAGTAAGCAAAATCATCAAGCGTAATATTTACTAAAATAAATTTTTTTATATTCCACATGCCCAAGGATTTCATCTGTACAATCAGCGCTCGTTTTAATCATCCGAAATAAAAATTTTATTTTCATCAACACATTTACCTTGGACGACCAGAAATCCAAAACCGAAAAAAGCATAAGTGGAGATACATCGAAGAAAACATTGTTTTCACATTGAAGAAGAAAATTGTTTTGAAGAAAAGAAAGAAAATATTTTATTTTATTTAACACATTTAATATCTTTCAAATTTCGTATATAAATTATAATTTGATAATATCTTTATAATTTTTGTAGGTTTGTTAAGCCGAAAGTTGAAATTGGTTCATTGATCTTCGGGAAGTCATACCAACTAGTTTGAGACACGTAATTCCAGGTTGCTTAAATAGGCTAAGGATGAAATTTCGTCACGTTTACTCAGCTATTTCAATGTCATCTAAAAAGCCTTCTGTCACCTATATACCCTGTAGAAATATTGTTCGCCTTTGCGAGCGTTTCTTTCTTCTTCAAAAGCGTCGGACACTCCACTCACAACGATCAATTCAGTGCCAGACTCTTCTCGAGACAGATCCGTGGATCTCTTGACCTATAGTTATGTCCATTTCCATTGTAAGCAGTATATCTTAGACTGTATCTTTGTACGAATCGTAAGACCATTCTTTACATCAACTTCACTTCCATTTGTAGAAACTACTTGACTTGTTATTATATTCCTTAATATATCTTTGTACATATTCTTTCATTGAATATGTTAAATTCTTTACTACGTGGCTTATATATTTAAATATATATTAGCTTTACAAATTGTACACAAACTATAACTCTAGAATTATTCATAATTTTTCTTGTAAATAGTATAAGTAAATAATGTAAAGTATTTGCAATTTTGCTAAGTCCATCCCAAAGGAATCCGACATCTGTGCATATCTTTATATTTGGGGATTCTATTGTGGAAACAGGTATTCAGTATTTAAGGCCAACCTTAAGAAGTACATATCTTCAGAGGCACAACCCAACAGCTGTTCAGTAGGCAACTGCATGTGCTTAATTGTATGAGCATTGAAAACTGCGAGCGTTGCATTTCACGATGACCAAGCGAGTTGGGCAGAGAATTTCTGTTAAATGCTAGTACCTTGGTCACACATGTGTGACAATTGGCATGGTTCATAAAGTTTATGATCCAGAGTCTATGAAGGAAACGTAAATAAATGCACGATTTAGATGGTTCAAGGCTGGCCAGGTTTTAGTGGACAGTAATCCTCCTCTGACGTATCTTCAATATTGAGAACAATGACAATCTCACAAGTTGGAGTCACAATCAACGAAAATTGTCGTTTAACTGTGTCAAAGCTAGAAGAGGTTCATACGATCTTAGAAACTAATGCTTTTCAAATTTGATCCGAAGATCTGGGAATGAATTAATTGTAAAATTCTTTTCACGAGTCCTCGCATAAGGTCAAAAGGATTTTCATATTACCATTACTGAAAAATTCTGAAATTCGCAAAAAGGAAATCCTGAATTGCAATTGATGGTAAAGACATGGATTTAAAAATTCCAATAAACGTAGTGATGGATTTAGTTTTTAAGAGACCCGAAGCGTTACAAATTTTGGGGGTCCTAAAATTAATCAATTATGTACAATATAGTTCTATAGCTTTGACCTTGCCGCATCGATTGTATGATTTACTGAGATTTAAGAAATGATCCCTTAAAGTATTAAAATTCTTTTTATTTACACACACGGAATTTTTGGTTACATAACATTGAATAGTATACATTTTTACTGTCGTATGGGGATGCCTATCTTACGAAATCCGAGGTGACTGCCTTCATAAATCTGCCGCTGTTATATTAAGCATTAATAAATAATCTTAAAGTATTTTAATACAAAGTGAATGTTTTGTAGATACTTTCTGGAGAATTAACACCCCTTTTCTTCAATGGGTCATGGGTAAGCGGACAGCATATCTGCTACCGAGATGTGTGGGGTGGAATTTCGTTATTACACGTTTCCCCCAAAAACATCACTTCCCGCAGTTTAATGTCCAATGAAACTTTTGTAAGTTGAAGTTGACTGTTTAAATATTTTAATTTATTTTATACTTTATTTAATAAAGTATTATAATATAAAATAATGTGTTATATTTAACAGGTATGCGTATGATTTTTTTTATATATTGACACAGAAAATTGTGTTTGTTAGAAAATATTTGTATATTTATACTCAGGCTTTCTAGCAAAACAGAACATTAAGAGGTATTTTGCATACAGAGGATACTGAATCCCGCCAAGTTCTCATTGTCACCGGATCGTAATTATTTGCTCCTTGCGCACAATGTGAATCTTCCGATACTCATATTTAGCACAGTATACAATTTATGACGTAAATACACGGTTAGTAAATATAATTTAGACGATAATCTAATCTAAGACGATAATAATTTTAAAAGTTGAATCTTTGTTGTAACGGATGAAGTATTCTACGTCTTGATTACTAATATTAATCAACTATTATTATTTCACATTAATCATTGTATTGTTACAGAGAAACTATACCACTAACTCCACATCCTGAGAAAGAAGTCCATCCTTATCTTTTATTGGCACAATGGACTCCACGTGATCATGGTTTAGTTATGGTTCAAGATTATGATATTTATTATATAACCAGTCCTAAAAGTAATACAGGATATCGTGTTACTAATACAGCTGTACCTGGTATTTTATCAAATGGATTACCAGACTGGCTTTATGAAGGTAATACGATAGAAGTCATTTATGTTTTTGAGAAATGTATGGTAAATCATTTTATGCAAGTTTTTATATAATTTATAGAGGAGATCTTGCATCGTGCAGAAGCAATTTGGATGTCATCAGATGGCCATATGATGCTATATGCTTCTTTCAATGATTCACTTGTTGAGGAAATGCACATATCTTGGTTTGGAGAAGGAAATAAAGCTTTATATCCTGATATACGATCTTTGCGTTATCCGAAAGTAATTTTTGTTGAACATTTTATCTTAAGACATATACATATTCATGTATATATTTATATATAGGCACATATATCTTTGAACAGTCATTTTTTATGTAATAACTATTAAAAGACCATGGAATAAAATTAGATACTGATTTTGATTTTGTAGCCGGGAACACCAAATCCTGTGGTACGACTCTATGTAGCAGACTTGGCAGATCCAAAGAACATTCATACGAAGGTAGTGAAACCGCCACCTATCATCGAGCATGTGTGAGTTTACTTACAAAGTTTGGAGTATGGAGTGCTTGAACAAATTCTCTCTTATTAATTTTTCCTCATTAGGTGTAATTATTCGTCTTAACAAAAAAAAAAAGAATGAACAAAATTGAAAATGTCTTGAATAGAGATTGCACTTTGTTGTTTTTTACAAGAAACATTTAGATGTTTCTATGGTGACTCTCCCAAGGTACTTCAAAAAAGGAAGCATATTCTTTCGGCAAGATATTTTAAGATATACATGAGGAGTAGTTTCTTGGTTTAAAATGAGCTGGTTTTTAAGAATGTGTTTTAGTTTAGAATAAACTTTAATAATGTTTTATTAATTTACATATAAACAAATTTAATTTTTACATTTATAAGGTAACATTTTTATTAATATGACACCATAGATTTTATTTCATTAAATATTTATGACTGTTAAAAACTATAATTATTTTTTGTAAAAGGATATTAGATGGTCTGATATTTCTAAGTACTCAATTTTACGAGCTTTTTATCATTTGTAGGAAATGAATTTGCTTTTGATTTACAATATAGTCAACAAATATTTTTTTATGTTAGTTTAGAAAACATCAACATCATTGCAACTTCTTTCTTCCAAACTAAAAGAAATTGAAGATAACTTGAATGTTAAATATAATTAAGCATATATTCATTGTCATACACTTCAATTATGATATAGGCTTCATACATAAAACTTAATAGAATTTACAATTTTTTATAGCAAAAATTTATTCATTTTATTTTATTAAACATATAAAAATTTTTAAATATTATTTAAAATCATTTTATACATATTTTATATATAGACTTTTTATACATTTGATATATAATATTTGAGTAGTTTAATATATAACATATAAGTGATTTTGTGTGGCTGGTAACACAAAGTAATTGGTAATTTAAATTTTTAAAAAGATTTTAAAGAGTTGATCTTAGAAATCATCTCATCTTAATCCCGATAATGTGATATATGTAGTAAATATTTTATTTCACATGTTAGCACATAAATAATTATTTATTCGTGCTTAGCGATTTTAATTCACATTTTGTTTTAGTATGCACTATAGACATCTTACCTTTTTCATTTGCTTTTATTTCTTTGCTATCTTTAAAGATATAACATAGCTTCCTTTTTATAACTAAATAAATTAACAGGGAAATTAAAGTCATTAAAGTAACATATGCATTTTATTATCATTAAAATAGTTAAGTTTTACTAGTTTTTATAGATATAATAAGCTATTGTTAGTAATATATTGAGTTGCATTCTTATAGATTTAATTGCTATTCAATATCATGCAAACTGCTTTAATCAAATATTCAATAAATTAAATTTATTATTAAGTATTAAGTTAAAATATTAAATGTGAACATTATCAATGTTTATATCCATTAACAGAGAACATTACTTTACAACGGCTTCTTGGGTATCTTCAACGGAAGTCTGCATAACATGGTTGACCCGTGCACAAAATCTTTCTGTTGTGACCATTTGCAAGAGTCCATTGTGGCACTGTCAGGTATTATAATTGCTCATTTTATTCTTTAAATTAGTGTTTTATTTATAAATTTATTTTTGCCATTTTATATAGGAAATTCAAAGGATAGTAGCTGAAGATCGTGGCTGGGTAGATACTCCTCCAGAAGCACCTATCTTTTCAGCAAATGGTAGCAGTTACATTGCTATAAGCCCAGTTAAGGATGGTCCAGCTGGTTATTATAAACATATTGTTTGGGTAAATGTTGCTCGGAAATTAATTGTTCCACTCACTCATGGAAAATTTGAAGTCACACAAATAGTAGCATGGGATCAAGCTAATAATACTATGTGAGCAAAAAAATTGTATTGTTTATTATTTATCAAACATTAAATTATTGCTTTCCGAGCAATTAAATTTTATAAAAATAAACTGTTTTATAAAATAATAATGAATTAATTCATGTTGTATTTATTACTATATACCTTCTGGTGTAATATAACTTTTAGGGAGTAGTATATAAAGTGATTATAAATTCTACTGTTATATTTTTCCTTGAATCTAATCTAATTCTTTCATATAGATACTTTATAGGTATACCACCTATGCGACCAGGACAGAGACACCTTTATTATGTGAGTTCATTGTTACCACATGTGGGTTCGTCTCTACACCCTGCTGTTTGTATTACTTGCACGGAAACATCAGAAGGAATTCGAAATGAACATCGAACAACATCTAGTCATCATAATACTTGGTCTGACAATAGTTATATACATGAACATTATGAAACACAAACGGAAAGTGTACAAAATACAAATGAGGGACAACCAAAGGAAAATGTTACAAAAAAACAGAAATCGAAAGCGTACGTTTCACCAAGTAAGTAAAACTGTACACATATTACTAAAGGAAAAATTAATGATTGATTTAGATAATTACAATATTATTTATTTAATATCTTTTTTATTTCCAGAATTCACAGATCAACCTTGTCAATATCACAATGCTATTTTCCCACCAGTTGGTACTGATTATTTTGTCTTAGAATGTTATGGACCTGGTATTCCTACTGTTACCTTATATAAAACTGATTTTCCCATGCCACATCTTATCCATGTCTTACAGAATAATACATTATTACGCGTAAGTTGTATCAATTTTTATAACTTTTTGTATTTGAATTGTTTTATATGCGTTGTATCACTATTACTTTGGGATACAAAATAATAAAAATATATACAACGTTAAAGATTTATTTTAGGAACGAGTTGCTAAACTTGCACTTCCACAAATTAAAACATTTCCTGTTCAAATAAGCGGTGGATATAATGCACAAGTAAAATTACATCTGCCCCCTGGATTAAGAGAAGATGAAATTACACGATATCCTTTAATTGTACAAGTGTAAATATATTTTTAAATATAATATCCAATTATCATAGTGTATATATATTATAATATATACAAATGTAACATTAACATTATTATGGGAAAAAGTACAATTTCCGAAATGTTCACTTTTTTCAGTTATATATCTTTATTTTTAGATATGGTGCACCAGGTACACAATTAGTAACAGAGATGTTCAAAATTGATTGGAATACATATTTGGCTAGTAGGAAAAATATGATTGTGGCACAAATTGATGGTAGAGGTAGTGGAGGTCAAGGTTATAAATTTCTTCATGAAGTTTACTATAGACTTGGTTCTGTAGAAGTTGCTGATCAACTTGAAGTAACAGAGTAAGTTTTTCTCTAATAATCTAAAATTTAAGTTTTTTTTCTAATAAAAAATAAACAAATTAAATTTATGCTGTATTAATATGATTATTTATATAATTTAATTAAATTGTCAAATATTATTATATAACATTGTATAATAATATGATAATGATCATACATTAAATTATATTACTATTAAAGAACATTGAATATTTTTAAATAATCGAGTTTTAAAAATATATATAAATGAAGCGTAAAATTTCTAGATATTTGCGGGATTCATTGCATTTCGTGGACAAACAACGAGTTGCTGTTTGGGGTTGGAGTTATGGTGGTTTTGTAGCTGCTCTTGCGCTGGCGCACCCTGAGCAAGATGTCTTTGAATGTGGTATAAGTGTAGCACCTGTTGTTTCATGGAAACTCTATGGTATAGTTTAATTCCACTTTACCAGTTTTTGCTGTTATTTACTGCCTTACTGAATTAAATTAAATTATGTTAGTTAATTAAAAATTTTTTTTATGTTTAAATAGATTCAGCATATGCTGAAAGATATATGGGTTTGCCAGATGTTGTATCCAATTACAAGGGATATGCTGAATCAGATGTGTATGATAAAGTGGAACATTTGCGAAATAAAATGTTTTATTTAATGCATGGCACTGCTGATGATAACGTCCAATTTCAACAATCTATGGCACTTGCGCGTCATCTTGCGAAAAAAGGCATACTTTTCCGACAACAGGTACCATTTCTAATTATAATGATCTGTTAAAAAATATGATTAACGTATCACTGATATTATAAAGAAAATGCAGTAACTCAAATAATTTTTATCTACTGAAAAACAAAAAAAAAAGAAGATATATAGGTATATACTGTTACCTGTCTGGGTCTGTACAGTTAGTCGACTACCGAGATATAATATATTCAGCGATTGTATTCCAGTTTTTACGAAACTTTAGTGTTTTCAAATAGTACTTGTATTTCAAACAAAATTCGTTGTCCATATGATTTTAATAAAGACGAAGATCTGATGTTATTCTCAGATTAGCAGATGTTTACTAATACGTTTATAATATTTATTATTCACATTTAGGTGTATCCAGATGTGAGTCATACATTAGCAGGAGTCAAAGGTCACCTTTACTTATCAATGGCTCAATTTTTGGATGAATGTTTCCAGAAACAAGCACCTACTGATACAAAAGCTGGTCTCATCAGTGGTGGATCTAGTCTGTAATTGTAAATAATGTGATCTAAAAATGATCTACTTGTGAAGGAATTCCATACACAAAATTACATCTAAATATCTCCAAATTGTGTTCCGTTTATTAATACCTTTAGGAGGAAAATATTTTCGCATTATTTTGTATATTGACTAAATATTATAAGAGAATGGTATAAATAGATAAAATTATGTTTGTTGTATTTTAAATTAGAAATCAAATCTAAATGAATGAAAGTTATACATTTTCACTTTATTAAACAGGTATTAATATATTACATGTACATATAACTTTTTTTTTCAAAAATATCATATTTTTGTTGTAAACCTAAATGAAAATATTTGGTGACTTTTTATATGTATATTGTATAAATCATTACATTAATTTGAAATATTAAAAATTTTATTACAAAATTTAATTTTTTTTTAGCTATTTACAAATAATTTTTTTAAATAAATATTTTAATTACTATTATTTATGTTTTAAATAATTGTATTTTTTTCGTATATTAAGTTCGTAAAATTATTTTATTTGATATTTGTATTTTTGTCTTTATAACAAATAATTGTCAACGTATATAAAATTCATATAAAATTGTATAATTGTATAAGTAAAAAAATCAAATATGTGATAAACGTAAATGAAAGATAAACAAAAAACATACGCTATTCATTATTACTAAATTTAGATTAATTTTATAAATACTAAAAGCTTTTATTCATTTAGATGTGATTTTTTTTATGTTACAGTGAAATCTAAAATGATGGAAATTATTTTAAATATCACATAATTTTATTGAAGACATACATAAGTCACTTGCTATAATTGCAAAACAAATATTATTGGAACGAGGTAAAAAGGCAATTACTTCTTTTCATCGAGTTAAACGATATGAAATTGACATGAACGGTAAAAATTTATGATCTCGCGAGCACTCGATGTAAGGGTAACTTTTTCCTTCTTTCATTTAGATTCTTGTAATTAATAACATGTGCGTAAGAAACACAAAACAACGTGTTTAAGGTTATTCCTCAATGCATATTTCTCGAATCTCTTATGTATATCATAAGAAACAGATGTTTCACTCAAAGTTTATATGATTTCTCTTATTATAAATCTACTTTAACGCTTCATTCGCTACAATAATCAACATAACACTTTGTAAACAGTATTAATTAACTTCGAGGAACAATAAAGAAATTTTATAAAAATAACATTCAATTAATTGATCTAAATAAGGTATAAAGTTAACGGAAATGAATCTTATACTATAATAACAATACATACTATTTTACCTGAATGTAATGAGCAATTAAAAAAGTTAATAACAAGATTAAAGTGTAATTGTCAAATTGTATTGCGTGCAAACTTTGCACGTTATTCTTTAAACAGCAATATAAATAGGAGAGATATTTAGAGGAATAATTTTAATTTCTATCACGTATAATAGCGAAATATAGATTTCTCGATAGATTTTCTAAATTATCGAGGGGGCGTTATCCGTTGGTCAGTAGTCGGAAATGGATTTGACGATCTTCTTGTTCGAACATCTGCCAAGATGTAGTAGCATGTGGTTTTTAAGATTGGTCGGTTTACTGAAACCACGGCTACAAATATGGCACCTAAACGGCCATAGTCCATTATGCACGTACATATGACTCTTAAGATCTCCCGGTGTAGGTTTTTTTGGAACGACTTGGAGCATTGTGAACACTTGTGTGGTTTTTCCTGAAACATAAGCGTAAAAGCACTCTTCGCTGTAAGAGTTTTCAACAAACTATAGTATAAATAAATTTAAACAAATAAATATTTTACGAAACAATGTAATTTCAACTTGTAAGAATTTTTTATTTTTATTCATAAATTATTTCTCTTTTATTGTTATTTACAAGTAAAATCAATCGGTAATTTTACAATATATTTATTATTGTTACATAATATATGACTATAAATATTTTACTTTTAAAGAAAGAATTTGAGAACTAATATATTTTTTTGTAGCAAGATTAATGCGTATTAAATAAAAC